ATTTAGTTAAGTACGTAGGTAGTTGTTTCTAAAATAAATATTTTTAATTACGTTTTAGGTGAAAAAGTGCACTTACACCTTTAGCTATACCTAAAAGAAAATCAATTCCTTTCAATATACATAAATAAAGTGAATTGAAGTGTGTTTGTAGTTCGAAATTAAGCTTTTTACTAAATGCATTTAAAAGTATATACGGTACTTATTTAAAAAAAATCAAGTAATTTTTGAAACATCTAGACCGAATTTGACGGCACTTTCACTGGCAAATAGCTGTTGTTACAAGGAGTAACTTAGGCTACTTTTATTTTAGAAAAAAAAAAAAATAAGGTTCCGCAAAAACAAAATTAAAACCAATAAAATAATGAACAACATCCAATTCAAAAATATATGTGGCATGCAGCCAAAAGCAAAACACAAGTCTTCGCGCGCAGGCGCATTGAATTGAAACTGAAACTAAAACTCTTGGACATTAGAGCAGAGTTAGAAAGAAAAAAGAAGAACGCGAGAGGTGCGCGAGCAGGCGTTACCTTCTGAAAATCATCGTCAATCTTATCTGTAAAAACAACTACCTTTTTAATTAATTTTTGTTTAATGTTAAAATAAAATAGAAGAAAGACCAACGTCTTGGACCCCTTGTTGTCTCCCACAAATTATGGGGGCTCGGCCGGGATCGATAAAATTTCGATTTTGAACCAAAGTCTGGACAATGAACAACAGCGTCCGTGAAGGAGACGCTCCGCCATTTTTCGGAAACTTCGTTCAACCTGTGTAGAGGTTGAATTTTTCAACTTCATTCCGCCTGTGTAGAGGTCGGAACAAATAACAAAATAACCTGTGTAGAGGTGTATTTTTCAACGAACCATCGACAAATATTCCGCCTGTGTAGAGGTCGGAACAAATAACAAAATAACCTGTGTAGAGGTGTATTTTTCAACGAACCATCGACAAATATTCCGCCTGTGTAGAGGTTGGAAAACCCATCGACGAAAATATCGCCTGTGTAGAGGTTAGAACCACTCACAAACACCTGCGAAGAGGTGTCAATTCGAACAATTTCAAGAACTATTTTTCATCTAACGATATAACCTGCGAAGAGGTGAAATCAGTGGAATCAACGTTTTTATTGGATACATCGTACGTGCGAGCAACAAGGGAGCCAGAGAAAAAAAAGGTAGGATCTTTCTAAATTTTTCTAAAATGTATAAAAACGCTCTTAAAGAGGATCTCATAAGAGTTGTTGAGGAGCTAGACGGTACTGTGGAGAGTACTGACACTATAGTTAAACTAAAGACTAAAATTGAGAACAGTAGTACATTTGAAAGTGATCCAGATTTCGTTAAAACTTTAATTCAAAACTGTATAGATGAGAGAGTATCGCAAAACGAAAGAGAGGTAACTTCAGAACAAAAAATTGAGCTCGCGAAACTTCAGTTAGCAAAATTAGAAAAAGAAATCGAAAATCAATTGGTTAAAAATAAAGCATTAAGTTTAAATCCTGCAGCTAAAGTCGAAGAAAAACAGTTCGAAACTAACATAGAAAATATGATAAAAAGTATAAAAACTTTATCTCTTCCTGTTCCCACCAGATCTGAAAATTTTAATCTGTTCTTCCAATCATTAGAACGCGCATTTTTAACCAAGAAAATAAATGACGAATATAAATCTGAAATTTTAATAAATCTTCTGGGCGAAAGAGCTCATAACGTCTTACTGTATATTAAAGAAGAGGAATTAAATGACTATGAAAACTAAAATCTATAGTACTCAGAGAATTCCAATTAACCCCTCGCGAGTGTTTAAACTCATTTAAAAATGCTGTAAAATCATCAGGCGAGACATACATCCAATTTGCTGCAAGATTGACGGCAAACTTCCAATATTAGTGTTCGTTAAGAAAAGTTAATTCCTTTGAATCTCTATGTGATCTTATAATTTCTGATAAATTATTTGAAACTTTAAATAAGGAAACTGCAACTCATATTGGCATTCGAGAAGCAGAAGATTGGTTTAGGCCTATTGATTTAGCTAAAGAGTGTGATATTTATATTTCATCTAGAAGCGGATCACATAAAGAAATTCCTATTACTTATGGATATACCCAAGACCCCTTTAAAAATAAATCACAAAACTTTAAAACAAAGATTAAAGAGAACTATCCCCAATATCATGAAAGAGAAAATAAAAATTGCTATATATGCGGTGATTCATCTCATTGCGCAAGAGACTGTGAGAAGCGTTTTAAACCTAAAGAATCTAATGACCACATCCATAATAGAATAATCGTGAATACTTTGAAAATCGAGAGCGAAAAACAAAATAGCGATGAATGCGCAAATCTTCAATACGTAAACATTTTTGTGGAAAATCAGCCCGTAACAGCATTGATTGATTCAGGTTGCCAGATCCCAGTTTTAAATTCCTCACTAATTAGAGTGCAAACACCTTCCGAAGAAATCATAACATTAAGTTCATGTTTTGGCGAACAGCGTATGGTAGAAGTTAAACCCATAAATATTTCTCTTAATCAACACTCTCCTAGCTTAAGTGTGAGAACGGCAATATCACCGACCTTGACCGAAGAATTTATTATACATCCCAGTGTATATTCTGAAATAGAGAAACTAGGCCACGCAAAGAGCGATGTTTTATTAAGTGAAAGTGAATCCTCTTTGAGTGCAGATTTAGGTGCTCATGCTTATGCTTATCCTAGTGCTATTTCTTTTCCAAATGTTTCTGTTTCAAATGTGATAAAAAACTCTAGTTATGATTTATCACATGTTAAAAACTTTAATACTAGAAATGATTCGAGTTCTCTAATTAAGGATTATAAATGTAATAAAATTAAGATTACTAAGTTAAAATTGAGTATTGTAAGAGAAAATGTTCTGATATAGTATTGTGTAAGAAAGCCAATGGTGCCATGAAAACGAGTTCCGTGGAATTTATCTCCCGCTCACCTAACCCTTTACCTATGAAGTGTGAACATCGACGGTTTGTGTTGCTCCGAAAAATTTTTGAGCCCTGGCAGTGGAAGCGAAGGAAAAAGAGAAATCGTTTTGAACAGACGTCCAGAACTCTACAGAGGAAAATATCGATGCGTTCAACCAAAGATCAACTTGTTAAAAAAGACGTTCTTATGCCTGTGAAACAATGTGTTTTCCTGTGGAACCTTCCGGATGTCGAAGAGGTGCCTCCACATGATGGAGAAACTGTCTAGTTCAACAAAATTTTGATATGTTAAATCTTTGTATATTTGTCGTATAGTCCTTGTCTGTTCCGTTTTTTTTTGTATGTTTCAGATTCTCCTCTGGTCTCCATGGAAGTACCGCTGCGGACAGCGTACGGTCAGAATGGCCGTTGTGGCATGCAGCCAAAAGCAAAACACAAGTCTTCGCGCGCAGGCGCATTGAATTGAAACTGAAACTAAAACTCTTGGACATTAGAGCAGAGTTAGAAAGAAAAAAGAAGAACGCGAGAGGTGCGCGAGCAGGCGTTACCTTCTGAAAATCATCGTCAATCTTATCTGTAAAAACAACTACCTTTTTAATTAATTTTTGTTTAATGTTAAAATAAAATAGAAGAAAGACCAACGTCTTGGACCCCTTGTTGTCTCCCACATATATATATAGGGGGATTATTTATTATTACTTTTTTTTAATACTCAAAGACATTTAAAAAGCATTTCTTCATGGAACAAATGCGATGACTCATTTTTAACGAAAAAGATTAATTTATTCTTACTGACTCACTTTTAATTCTCTAAGAACAAACAATTTTTTTCGTTTCTATCGCAACCAGAGTTGATATAACCATAAAAACAGAAAAAAGCTAATTCTAAAAAAGTTATGAGCAATATAAGGATTAATCTATACCTATAAATTAAAATGAAGTGTCTGTTTGTAATTTGAAATTAAAGCTTTTTACTAAATGCATTTAAAGTATATACGATACTTATATCAAAAAATCAATTTTTAAAATTTTTGTCTGTCTCTCTATTTGTTCCAGCTAATCTCTGAAACAGCTGCACCAATTTGGATGGAACTTTCACTGGCAGATGTTATAAGAAGTAACTTAGGCTACTTTTATTTAAAAAAATAAATTAGGGTTCCACGGAAATAAAATTAAAACCAATGAACAATATCCGATTCAAATAGGGATTATTTATTTCAATAGGGATTATTTTTATTCAACAGGGAGTATCTTATTTCGTGAGCCTTCTATCTCAACGATTTATAGCAGTTATATTAAACCTTTTTGTTTGATTATGTTGCTGCCACTCGCGACATTTCGCGTCCATGTCCTTTGATCTTAATGATTTTACAGTCCTCACCCCATCGACAGTATCAAAGGTCATGCGACCCTCTCAAACTTTGCTCAACAAAAAACAAAGAAAAAAATTAAACAAAAAAGAAACATTGATTCACAAAGTAGAAGAATGACATTATACACATATAATAGGAATTTCTTTACGTGGAATATATAATTATTAAGTTTTCGTAAACTCTGCGAATTGAATAAACACTTTTTTGTTAAATTCCAGGTCGACGAAGTCGCGGATAATAGCTATTTAACATAAAGAAAATGCATCAGAAAGTAATATTAACGTATTACACAGACACATCCAGATACAAATTATTTACATTATTTTAATGCGTTTATTACACAAAATTTGTAACAATGTGCTAATTTTGCTGAGCAGAAGGAAGCTGTTTTCAAAAATAGACCTATAAGACAGTTACGGGGCGTTATAAGCCAAAATAAAAAAAATTTTTATCAGCTATTATATCTCCAGACTTAAAATTGAGCAAACATGGTTTTTGTTCAGCTGAGATATGCAAAAAGTTCTTTTTTTTGTTTAGTTTACAATTAACGTAAAATTAACTCATTAAAAACTTCTTTATCCTTCAGTCTTAAATTTTCAATTCACGAGTGCCAAGAACGGATATACCAGCTAGTATAAGAATAAAAACAGAATAACGTGCTTTCAACTTTCGAAAGATTGTCAGGAGTGGGGTTTGAAACAACACACTCTTTCGAGAACCAGAATTTAAATCTGGCACCTTAGACCGCTCGGCCATCCTGACTCCTGAACCAAGAAACACGAGTAAGATAAAGGGATACTTTAAGATTGCTTCCAACAACTACTCTTTTCTTATACCTTTGCTCTTAAAAAAATTAAAATAATGAATGAAATTCGAAGCAAATCGTTCTGTTAGTGAATCGTAATTTAAAAATAAAAAATAGAATAACGAGCTTGCAACAAATGTCAGCAGTCAGAATCGAACCCACGCTCTCTTTCGAGAACCAGAGCTTAAATCTGGCGCCTTAAACTGCTCGGCCATCCTGACTTCTGAACCAAGAAACATGAGTGAGAATAAAGGATACTTTATGATTGCTTCCAACAAATACTCTTTTCTTATACCTTTGCTCTTAAAAAAATTAAAATAATGAATGAAATTCGAAGAGAATCGTACTGTTAGTGAATCGCAATTTAAGAATCTAAAATAGAATAACATGCTTGCAACGTTTGAACAATTGTCAGCAGTGATAATAGAACCCACGCTCTCTTTCGAGTACCAGAGCATGAATCTGGCACCTTAGACCGCTCGGCCATCCTGACTTCTGAACCAAGAAACACGAGTGAGATGATAGAATACTTTGTGATTGCTTCCAACAAATACTCTTTTCTTATACCTTTGCTCTTAAAAAAATTCAAATAATGAATGAAATTCGAAGCGAATCGTTCTGTTAGTGAATCGCAATTTAAGAATCAAAAATAGAATAACGTGCTTGCAACGTTGGAACAATTGTCAAGAGTGGGGTTCGAACCCACGCTCTCTTTCGAGAACCAGAGCTTAAATCTGGCGCCTTAGACCACTTGGTCATCCTGTTCCCGAACCAAGAAACACGAGTGAGAATAAAGGATACTTTATGATTGCTTCCAACAAATACTCTTTTCTTATACCTTTGCTCTTAAAAAAATTAAAATAATGAATGAAATTCGAAGAGAATCGTACTGTTAGTGAATCGCAATTTAAGAATCTAAAATAGAATAACATGCTTGCAACGTTTGAACATTTGTCAGCAGTGATAATCGAACCCACGCTCTCTTTCGAGTACCAGAGTTTGAATCTGTCACCTTAGACCGCTCGGCCATCCTGACTTCTGAAACCAGAAACACGAGTGAGATAAAGGATACTTTATGATTGCTTCCACCAAATACTCTTTTCTTATACCTTTGCTCTTAAAAAAATTAAAATAATGAATGAAATTCGAAGAGAATTGTTCTGTTAGTGAATCGCAATTTAAAAATCAAAAATAGAATAACGTGCTAGCAACGTTGAAACAATTGTAAGCAGTGAGAATCGAACCCACGCTGTCTTTCGAGAACCAGAGATTGAATCTGGCGCCTTAGACTGCTCGGCCATCCTGACTTCTGAACCAAGAAACACGAGTGAGAGTAAAGGATACTTTATGATTGCTTCCAACAACTACTCTTTACTTATACCTTTGTTCTGAAAAAAATTAAAATATTGAATGAAATTCGAAGAGAATCGTTCTGTTAGTGAATAGCAATTTAAGAATCAAAAATAGAATAACGTGCTTGCAACAATTGTCAGGAGTGGGGTTCGAACCCACGCTCTCTTTCGAGAACCAGAGCTTAAATCTGTCACCTTAGACCGCTCGGCCATCCTTACTCCTGATTGATTGAATATTAACGTCGCACTGTTCAGCTACAAGAGGGCTTTCGGCGACGGACCACGTAATTTTGAACCATGGTCAAGTGACGTGGACGACACCTGAGGTGGTACCCCCTCTCCTAACTGCCAAACTACAGCAACGGGAGGACGTTTCAGCTCTCGACAGATTTAACGTTCATCGCTGCCCTACCCGGGGGTCTTTAGTGGTACTGGGCTCGAACCCGTGACAAAGCAAGCCACGGTCCGATACCTATACCACTCGGCTACCGCGGCCACTCCTTACTCCTGATCCAAGAAACACGAGTGAGAAGAAAGAATACTTTGTGATTGCTTCCAACAAATACTCTCTTCTTATGCCTTTGCTCTTAAAAAAATTAAAATAATGATTTAAATTCGACGCGAATCGTTCTGTTAGTAAATCGTAAATTAAGAATCAAAAATAGAATAACGTGCTTGCAACGTTGGAACAATTGTCAGGAGTGGGGTTCGAACCCACGCTCTCTTTCGAGTGAGTGAGTGATTTTGTGGTTTAATGGCGCAAGGGCCAATTTTGGCCAAACTGCGCCAAACACTCGTTGGTGGAAAAGAATTTTTTTTTAAAAGCATATAAAATTACATCCGCATATTTATATACATGCACGCATGCAAGCATATATATTAGTAAATGTAACATTACAAAATAAAATATTAAAATCCAATTTTTTTAAAAATACAATATCGTAAGAAAATATAGTTAAAATGAAATATGACAGATGAAAATGTAAAAATTGATATGAAAACTTTGTTCAGTTCGGTGAAAAAAGTTTCACTTTCAGAAAAGATAAAATTACTACTGGCTGTTTCTAACACGGGTCGGAGTTATCACGTGTAGAAATCCCCCCTGTCTCCAAGACTCGTTCTTCCAATATTCTTCCGACAAGAAGTATTTATCATTTTTCTTCGGTGATTCTATTTGTTCTGCCATGTCGTATACGATCATGTCTTCATCGTCAGTGTCTTGAATAGATGAACTTTTTCTCGGTTTATGGGGTGCCATTTTAATTTCTAATTTTGGTTTAACAGTGGGTGCTGTAACGTTACATATTGTTTTAGGATTTCGCTTTTTTCTGCGAGATTTTTGTGTAGAAGCATGGGATACAGGGGATATGATAGTAGAAGGTATACTATTGGATGTGGTAGTTTCTAGAGCAGAGGGATGCGTTTTATTTGATAAGGCAGTAAACATTGTTGTTGTAGATGTAATTAAACTAATAGATGCAGAGGAAGTAGTAATAACAAAAGGAACAGGTTGTTGAGATTCGGATGATGTAGCTGCCGCAGAAGATGTGGTTGGTAAGAGTTGTGCTTCAGTTGATGCAGATAACTTGGTAACTGTAGGAATTTTAAAAGGCATTGTTGGTTTCAAAACGGCTGTGAAAGGTTGCAGTAGTTTTAAAGGTGGACATACTATTTTTGTAATGCTGTCATCAGTTTGGGTTGTTGTGGTTGTAGTTTTGAGGATTTGGTAGCTTGGGAATATGTTTGAGATATTTGTGGTAGTATCAATTTTCGAGCTTCTGGATAGGAGATATTTTTGCTTGTTTTGATTTCTTGAATTTTCTTTTCTAATTTCCATTTGGAACAGAGTTTGGAATCGGACTGATGCGACTCTGAACAGTTAAAACATTTAGGCTCTAGACTGCAATCTGTGGAAGCATGTCCAACAGATGCACATCTAGAGCACGTCAATTGTCCTCGGCAGGCAGTTTGAGAGTGTCCGAACCTCTGACACTTAAAACAGCGCAGAGGATTCGGAACGTATGGACGGATTTTACAATGAAGATATCCAGCTTTAATTGAAGTAGGTAAATGCGGGCTATTAAATGTTAAAATTAAATGCTGTGTAGGAAAAACAGTAGTATTCTTTTTTATCGTAATTCTTCTGACTTGAATCACACCCTGATCCGAAAATCCTTCAAGGATTTCAGATTCAGAAATGGACAACAAGTCAGGTTCCGAAATAACACCCCTGCAAGAGTTAAGAGATTTATGCGGAGTGACAATTAAAGGAGAGTTTAAAAAGGTTTTGGCGAGGAGAAACGACTTTGTTTGAATAGCGGAATGAGTTTCAATGAGTAACTCCCCAGAACGTAAACGTTTTACAGTCTTGGGTTCACCACCTATGCCAATAAGGGCTTTGTGAACAGCAAAAGGAGATTTATTGGACATTTCATTGTTTGGAAGAGCAAGTAATAAATATCTGGTAGTAGTTGAAATCCGATCGATGTTGCGAGCGGGTAATACATGCGCATCATGTGATTGGTAGGGTGGGTTGGGGGTTTTAAAGAATGCGTTTTTAGTGTTTTCTTTATTTTGACTTATGTTGGGTTTTTTTTTTGAAAGAAGGAGGAGAATTCCTTTTGATTTTCAGAGGACCAGTTTGGCAGGGCTTTCCCTAGAGTCAGCAACCAGTAGTGGCCTCGGGAGAGCCCCCCGCACTGCAATGCAGGACCCCATCCAGGCACCACCTGGAACTACAAGACAGGCGGGATTATACACCAGCTGATAGAGCAGCCAGGACATGCTGGTTAGGCTGTCCCGGGCTCCTGTACTATCTGGCGGGCTGAGACGCAAAACTCAGCTTTTCTCCGGTACCCTCTAAGAGGACGCTTCCTCCAAGACCCCACCTCACCAGTCCAAAGGTCTTCAAAAGTTCAAAACCCCGCTCCAAGTGCCAGTTTTCCCAGGGAGCAGTCCGTTGTGTCATCATACCAATAGTGAAAACCCTTCAGACACAACTTCATTCCACTCAGTCCTGGTCTGCCACAGGACTTCGTGGCAGAAAAATAAAGATAATAAGTTGAACACAAAAAATCAATAATCGAACATAAAAGAAGCAACAAAATCAAAACATTGAAAGAAATTGAAGAAAATCAAATGAAAAGAACATAATATAAAATGCAAACCATAATACTGCAGTAAAAAAAAAATATCAATTTTTTTATTAGAACAAAATTAAGTTGGGACAATGTTCCTTGTCCAATGGAAGTCTGTGATCTTGACGGGAAAAGAAGAAAAGGGAAACTTGAATGGCAAGAAAGAGGGCCGAAAATAGAGAAGGATCACTAGGGTTCCCCGTGTTCGTGACGCCCGTGTTTACCAAAGACAGTAAACCCCTAGGGAGAAGGAAAAGATCACTAGGGCACCTCGGGAGCGTGAAACCCGTACTCACCTAAAGAAGGTGAGCCCCCTGAGGGGGCTCTCTTTCGAGAACCAGAGCTTAAATCTCGTGCCTTAGACCGCTCGGCCATCCTGACTCCTGAACCAAGAAACACGAGTGAGATGAAAGGGTTCTTTATGATTGCTTCCAACAAATACTCTTTTCTTATACCTTTGTTCTGAAAAAAATTTAAATAATGAATGAAATTCGAAGAGAATCGTTCTGTTAGTGAATCGCAATTTAAGAATCAAAAATACAATATTGTGCTTGTAACAATTGTCAGGAGTGGGGTTCGATCCCACGCTCTCTTTCAAGAACCAGAGCTTAAATCTGACGCCTTGGACCGCTCGGTGATCTTGACTCCTGAACCAAGAAACACGAGTGAGATGAAACGGTACTTTATGATTGCTTCTAACAAATACTCTTTTCTTATACCTTTGTTCTGAAAAATATTAAAATAACGAATGAAATTCGAAGAGAATCGTTCTGTTAGTGAATCGCAATTTAAGAATCAAAAATACAATAACGTGCTTGCAACAATTGTCAAGTGAGGGGTTCGAACCCACGCTCTCTTTCGAGAGAACCAGAGCTTAAATCTGACGCCTTGGACCGCTCGGACATCCTGACTCCTGAACAAAGAAACACGAGTGAGATGAAAGGATACTTTAAGATTGCTTCCAACAACCACTCTTTTCTTATACCTTTGTTCTGAAAAAAAATAAAATATTGAATGAAATTTGAAGAGAATCGTTCTGTTAATAAATCGCAATTTAAGAATCAAAAATAGAATAACGTGCTTGCAACGTAAGAACAATTGTAGGGAGTGGGGTTGGAACCCATTCTCTCTTTCGAGAACCAGAGCTTAAATCTGGCGCCCTAGACCGCTCGGCCATCCTGACTCCTGAACCAAGAAACACGAGTGAGATGAAAGGATACTTTGTGATTGCTTCCAACAACTACTCTTTTCTTATACTTTTGCTCTTAAGAAGATTAAATTAACGAATAAAATTCTAAGAGAATCGTTCTGTTAGTAGATCGCAATTTATGAATCAAAAATAGACTAACGTGCTTGCAACGCGTAAGAACAATTGTCAGGAATGGGGTTCGAACCCACGCTCTCTTTCGAGAACCAGAGCTTAAATCTGGCGCCTTAGACCGCTCGGCCATCCTGACTCCTGAACCAAGAAACACGAGTGAGATGAAAGGGTTCTTTATGATTGCTTCCAACAAATATTCTTTTTCTTATACCTTTGTTCTGAAAAAATTAAAATATTGAATGAAATTCGAAGAGAATCGTTCTGTTAGTGAATCGCAATTTAAGAATAAAAAATACAATAATGTGCTTGCAACAATTGTCAGGAGAGAGGTTCGAACCCCGCTCTCTTTTTCGAGAACCAGAGCTTAAATCTGGCATCTTAAACCGCTCGGCCATCCGGACTCCTGAACCAAGAAACACGAGTGAGATAAAAGGTTCTTTGTGATTGCTTCCAACAAATACTCTTTTCTTATACCTTTGTTCTGAAAAAGATTTAAATTAACGAATAAAATTCTAAGAGAATCGTTCTGTTAGTGAATCGCAATTTATGAATCAAAAATACAATAACGTGCTTGCAACAATTGTCAGGAGTGGGGTTCGAACTCACGCTTTCTTTCGAGAACCAGAGCTTAAATCTGACGCCTAAGACCGCTCGGCCATCCTGACTCCTGAACCAAGAAACACGAGTGAGATGAAAGGATACTTTATGATTGCTTCTAACAACTGCTCTTTTTTCTTATACCTTTGTTCTGAAAAATATTAAAATAACGAATGAAGTTCTAAGAGAATCGTTCTGTTAGTGAATCACAATTTAAGAATCAAAAATACAATAACGTGCTTGCAACGTTAGAAGAATTATCAGGTGTGGGGTTCGAACCCACGCTCTTTCGAGAGAACCAGAGCTTAAATCTTGACGCCTTGGACCGCTCCGGAATCTCTGACTCCTGAGCCAACAAATACGAGTGAGATGAAAGGGTAATTTATGATTGCTTCCAATTAATATTCTTTTCTTATACATTTGCTCTTAAAAAAATTAAAATAATGAATGAAATTCAAGAAGATAATCCTTGTTAGTAATCGCAATTTATGAATCATAAATAGAATAACGTGCTTGCAACGATGGAACAATTGTCAAGAGTGGGGTTTCGAACCCACGCTCTCTTTCGAGTGAGTGAGTGATTTTAAATCTGCGCAAGCCTTTTGGCCAAACTCGGCAAACACTCCAGACTCCTGAACCAGAAACACGAGTGAGATGAAACGGTACTTTATGATTGCTTATAACAAAATAAAATATTAAAATCCAATTTTTTTAAAAATACAATATTCTAAGAAAAAGTTAAAATAAAATATTGAATGAAATTAAAAAATTGATATGAAAAACGTTCTGTTCGGTGAATAAAATTTAAGAAAAGATCAAAATTACTACTGGCTGTTTCTAACACGGGGTATTGTCAGGAGAAATCCCCCCGTTCGAACCCACGCTCTCTTTCTTCCGAACCAGAGCTTAAATATGTTGCCTTAGACCGTTCGGCCATCCTGACTCGCTGAACTTCAAGAAACACGAGTGAAGATGATGAACTTTTCTTTATGATTGCTTCCATTTAATTTCTAATTTTCTTATAACAGTGTTCTGAAAATATTGTTTTAGGATTTAAATATTGAATGAAATTTGAAGAGAATCGTTCTGTTAGTGAATCGCAATTTAAGAATAAAAAATAATGTTCTTGCAACAATTGTCAGGAGTGAGATTCGAACCCCGCTCTCTTTCGAGAAACCAGAGCTTAAATAACTGGCAGGTTGTTGAGATTCGTTTGGCCATCTGACTCCCGGAACCAAGAAACACGATGTGGTTGAGACGGTTCTTTATGATTGTTAATTAATAATCTTTTTTAAACCTTTGTTGTGAAAAAATTAAAATATTGAATGGGGGAAATTCGACGCTGTAATCGTTCTGTTAGTGAATCGCAAATAAAGAATCAAAAATACAACAACGTGCTAGCAAATAATCAGGGAGTGGGGATCGAACCCACGATTTTTTTGTTTTGAACCTTGAGCTTAATACTGGCCATTTGACGGTTTGAATCGACTCCTGAGCCAACAGTTAAAATACTCTAGAGTGAGATAAAAGGGCACATTTATGATTGCTTCGGCAGGCAATTAGACTACTCCTTATACCTTTGCTCTTAAGAAGATTAAATTAACGAATAAAATTCTAAGAGAATCGTTCTGTTAGTAGATCGGCAATTTATGAATCAAAAATAAATAACGTGCTTGCAAAACGTAAGAACAATTGTCAAGAGTTGGATCACACTTCCGAAAACGCTCTCTTTCAGATTCAGAAATGGACAAGCAAATCTGGCGCCTTAGGACCCCCTCAGCCAAGAGACTCTTGAACCAAGTTTAAAAACGAGTGAGATGAAACGACTTTAATGATTGTTTCCAACAAATACTCTTTTCTTTTACCTTTGTTCTGAAAAAGTTTAAATAATGAATGAAATTCGAAGAGAAACGTTCTGTTAAAAGAAATCCGCAGTGTTAAGAATCAAAAATACAAAAATGCGCATCAACAATTGTCAGGGTGGGGTTCGAACCCACGCTCTCTTTCGAGAACCAGAGCTTAAATTGGCGCCTTAGACCGATCGGCCATCCTGACTCCTGAACCAAGAAACACGAGTGAGATGAAAGGATTCCTTTGTGATTGCTTCCAACAACTACTCTTTTCTTATACCTTTGCTCTTAAGAAGATTAAATTAACGAATAAAATTCTAAGAGAATCGTTCTGTTAGTAAATCGCAATTTAGAAATCAAAGTAGAATAGGCGGGCTTGCAACGTTGGAAGAGCATCAGGAGTGGGGTTCGAACTTACGCTCTCTTTCTGGCGAACCAGAGCTTAAATCTGGTGCCTTAGACCGCTCTAGCAATCTCGACTCCTGAAACACCAGTGAGATGAAAGGATACTTTTTGTGATTGCTTCAACAACTACCTTTTCTTATACCTTTTCTCTTAAGAAGATTAAATTAACGAATAAAACCCTTCTCAGACAATAGTTCTGTTAGTAAATCGCACAGGACTTTAAGAAAATCAAAAAGATAATAAGTTGAACACTAAAATCAATTGTCATGAAAGAAGTTCAAACCCAAAAACTCTTTCGAGAAATTGAAGCTTAAATCAAAAATGAAAAAGAACATAATATAAAATGCAAACCTGACTCCTGAACTAAAAAAAAAAAAAAAATGAAACGGTTCTTTATGATTGAACTTCCAATTAATATTCTTTTCTTATACCTTTGTTCTGAAAAAAAAGGGAAACTTAAAATAATGAATGAAATTCGAAGAGAATCGTTCTGTTAGTGAATTGCAATTTAGCTTCAAAAGACAGTAAAACCCCTAGCAACAATTGTCACTAGGGGCACCTAGGGTTCGAAACCCCGTACTCACCTCTTTCTCGAGAACCAGAGCTTAAATCTGGCGCCTTAGACCGCTCAACCATCCTGACTCCTGTGCCAAGAAACACGAGGAGATGAAACGGTACTTTTTGGATTGCTTCCAACAAATACTCTTTTCTTATACCTTTGTTCTGAAAAAAATTTAAATAATGAATGAAATTCGAAGAGAATCGTTCTGTTAGTGAATAGCAATTTAAGAATCAAAAACACAAAACCGTGCTAGCAACTATTGTCAGGAGTGGGGTTCGAACCCACGCTCTCTTTCGAGAACCAGAGCTTAAATCTGGCGCCTTAGACCGCTCGGCCATCCTGACTCCTGAACCAAGAAACACGAGTGAGATGAAACGGTACTTTATGATTGCTTCCAACAAATACTCTTTTCTTATACCTTGTCCTGAAAAAATTTAAATAATGAATGAAATTCGAAGAGAATCGTTCTGTTAGTGAAAAGCAATTTAAGAATCAAAACACAAAAACCGTGCTAGCAACAATTGGTCGGAGTGGGGTTCGAACCAACGCTCTCTTTCGAGAACCAGAGCTTAAATCTGGCGCCTTAGACCGCTCGGTGATCTTGACTCCTGAACCAAGAAACACGGGGTGAGATGAAACGGTACTTTATGATTGCTTCCAACAAATACTCTTTTCTTATACCTTTGTTCTTAAAAAAATTTAAATAATGAATGAAATTCGAAGAGAATCGTTCTGTTAGTGAATCGCAATTTAAGAATCAAAAATACAATAACGTGCTTGCAACAATTGTCAAGAGTGGGGTTCGAACCCACGCTCTCTTTCAAGAACCAGAGCTTAAATCTGAGAAAAAGCCTTTAGACCGCTCGGCAATCTCGACTCTGAACCAAGAAACTCGAGTGAGATGAAAGGATACTCTTATGATTGCTTCCAACAACTACTCTTTCTTATACCTTTACTCTTAAAAATTAAATTAACGAATGAAATTCTAAGAGAATCGTTCTGTTAGTAAATCGCAATTTAAGAATCAAAAACAGAATAACGTGCTTGCAACGTAAGAACAATTGTCAGAGTGGGGTTCGAACCCACGCTCTCTTTCGAAAACCAGAGCTTAAATCTGGCGCATTAGACCGCTCGACCATCCTGACTCCTGACCCAAGAAACACAGTGAGATGAAAGGATACTTTGTGATTGCTTCCAATTAATATTCTTTTCTTATACATTTGCTCTTAAAAAAATAAAATAATAACGAATGAAATTCGAAGATAATCGCTCGGTTATTGAATCGCAATTTATGAATCATAAATACGAAAACGTGCTAGCAACGTTGGAAGAATTGTCAGGAGTGTGGGGTTCGAACCCACGCTCTCTTCGAGAACCAGAGCTTAAATCTGGTGCCTTAGACCGCTCAGCAATCTCGACTCCTGAAACACCAGTGAGATGAAAGGATACTTTTGTGATTGCTTCCAACAACTACTCTTTTCTTATATCTTTGCTCTGAAAACTTAAATTAACGAATGAAATTCTAAGAGAATAGTTCTGTTAGTAAATCTTTATCAAACTTTGTGATTGCTTCCAACAAATACTCTTTTCTTATACCTTGCTCTGAAAAAATTAAAATATTGAATGAAATTCGAACAGAATCGTTCTGTTAGTGAATCGCAATTTAAGAATCAAAAATACAATAACGTTCTTGTAACAATTGTCAGAGTGGGGTTCGAACCCCGCTCTCTATCGAGAACCAGAGTTTAAATCCGGCGCCTTAGACCGCTCACGGCCATCTTGACTCTTGAACCAAGACACGAATGAGATGAAACGGTACTTTATGATTGCTTCCAACAACTACTTCTTTTTCTTATACCTTTGTTCTGAAAAAGATTAAATAATGAATGAAATTCGAAGAGAATCGTTCTGTTAGTGAATCGCAATTTAAGAATCAAAAAAATACAATAACGTGCTTGCAACAATTGTCACAATTGTCAGGGTTCGAACCCACGCTCTCTTTCGAGAGACCAGAGCTTAAATTCGGCGCCTTAGACTGCTCGGCCATCTTGACTCCTGAACCAAGAGACACGAATGAGATGAAACGGTACTTATGATTGCTTCCAATTAATATTCTTTTCTTATACCTTTGTTCTGGAAAAAATTTAAATAATGAATGAAATTCGAAGAGAATCGTTCTGTTAGTGAATCGCAATTTAAGAATCAAAAATACAATAACGTGCTTGCAAAAATTGTCAGCAGTAGGGTTCGAACCCACGATCTGTTTCGAAAACCAGAGCTTAAATCTGGCGCCTTAGACCGCTCGGCCATCTTGACTCCTGAACCAAGAAACACGAGTGAGATGAAACGGTACTTTATGATTGCTTCCAATTAATATTCTTTTCTTATACCTTTGTTCTGAAAAAAATCAAAAAAAATAATGAATGTTCTGTTAGTGAATCGCAATTTAATAATCAAAAATACAAAAACGTGCATGCAACAATTGTTAGGAGTGGGTTCGAACCCTCACTCTCTTTCGAGAACCAGAGCTTAAATCTGGCACCTTAAACCGCTCGGCCATCCTGACTCCTGAACCAAGAAACACGAGTGAGATGAATGGGTACTTTATGATTGCTTTCAATTAATATTCTTTTCTTATACATTTGCTCTTAAAAAAAATTAAATAATGAATGAAATTCGAAGAGAATCGTTCTGTTAGTGAATCGCAATTTAAGAATCAAAAATACAATATTGTTCTTGCAACAATTGTCAGGAGTGGGGCTCGAACCCACGCTCTCTTTCGAGAACCAGAGCTTAAATCTGACGCCTTAGACCGCTCGGTCATTCTGACTCCTGAACCAAGAAACACGAGTGAGATGAAAGGATACTTTAAGATTGCTTCCAACAACCACTCTTTTCTTATACCCTTGTTCTGAAAAAAAATAAAATAATGAATGAAATTCGAAGAGAATCGTTCTGTTAGTGAATCGCAATTTAAGAATCAAAAACACAATAACGTGCATGCAACAATTTTCAGGAGTGGGGTTCAAACCCTCGCTCTCTTTCGAGAACCAGAGCTTAAATCTGGCGCCTTAGACCGCTCGGCCATCCTGACTTCTGAGCCAAGAAACACGAGTGAGATGAAAAGGTACTTTATGATTGCTTCCAACAACTACTCTTTTCTAATACCTTTGTTCTGAAAAAAATTAAAATATTGAATGAAATTCGAAGAGAATCGCTCGGTTATTGAATCGCAATTTATGAATCATAAACAGAGAAACGTGCTTGCAACGTTGGAACAATTGTCAAGAGTGGGGTTCTAACCCACGATATTTTTCGAGAACCAGAGCTTAAATCTGGCGCCTTAGACCGCTCGGCCATCCTGACTCCTGAACCAAGAAACACGAGTGAGATTAAAGGATACTTTGTGATTGCTTCCAACAACCACTCTTTTCTTATACCTTTGTTCTGAAAAAAAATAAAATATTGAATGAAATTCGAAGAGAATCGTTCTGTTAGTGAATAGCAATTTAAGAATCAAAAATACAATAACGTGTTTGCAACAATTGTCAGGAGTTGGGTTCGAACCCACGCTCTCTTTCGAGAACCAGAGCTTAAATCTGGCGCCTCAGACCGCTCGGCCATCCTGACTCCTGAACCAAGAAACACGAGTGAGATGAAAGGATACTTTGTGATTGCTTCCAACAACTACTCTTTTCTTATACCTTTGCTCTTAAGAAAATTAAATTAACGAATAAAGTTCTAAGAGAATCGTTCTGTTAGTAGATCGCAATTTATGAATCAAAAAAAGACTAACGTGCTTGCAACGTTAGAACAATTGTCAGGAGTGGGGTTCGAACCCGCGCTCTCTTTCGAGAACCAGAGCTTAAATCTGGCGCCTTAGACCGCTCGGCCATCCTGACTCCTGTACCAAGAAACACGAGTGTGATGAAACGGTACTTTATGATTGCTTCCAACAAATACTCTTTTCTTATACCTTTGTTCTGAAAAAAATTTAAATAATGAATGAAATTCGAGTGAGTGAGTGAGTGAGTGAGTGTGGGGTTTAATGGCGCAAGAGCCAAATTTGGCTATACTGCGCCACACGTTTGTTTAAATTATAAAAACATGGTAAAAATACACAAGAAAGATACAATGACATAAAAAGAAATTTGATATATGTGCATGCCTGCATGCACATATATAAAATAAAGGTAAAGTTAAAACATTTTAAAAAGTCAAATTAAATATAAAAATCCAATTTTCTTTATAAAAGCAAATAGATTTTGGTGGGGAGATTCCCCCACCAAGTCAGAAAAGGTTAAAACAGATTTATGAAAAAAGGTGATGCGATGATGGTTAAAAACGGGACAATCGATTAAAATGTGATGAACAGTGTAAGAGACATTGCATGAAGGACATTCAGGAGCGCGTTCTCCAAACAACAAATGCCTGTGTGTGAAGCGAGTATGGCCAATGCGAAGACGAGTCAATTTGACATCAGTTCTTCGCATTGGCATCACAGGCCACGCTCCTATGACAGGTTTCACGGAGTGCAGTTTGTTATCCAACTGCTGACTCCATGATTCCTGCCAGAGATTAAAAATATGATGCATGATGACGCGCTTCATATCCGATAGCGGAACTGCTAGCGGCAGATGGGTCGTTGCCGACTTTGCCGCGTTGTCCGCTTGCTCGTTGCCTATGATTCCTACGTGACTTGGTAGCCAGCAAAACACGATATCGAAACCCTTGCTGTAGAGTCGACTTGTAATGTCGAGTATTGTACATACCACTGGATGGCAGCGATCGTGGTAGTTTTCAAGCGCTTCGAGTACACTCATGCTGTCAGTATAGATGCAGTATTTACGGGGCACAGTGGAGTCGATTAATTGAAGTGCACGGTAAATGGCGACAGCTTCGGCATTGAAAATGCTGCAAGAAGTGTCAAGCCTATAACCGTGCATAATATCTTCAATCACGACTCCACAGCCAACGTAATCTGCACGTTTCGAACCATCAGTGTAGATGGCCGAATAACGACTATACTGACTGCGGTGGTAGGCGAAGACGCGTTGAAAGACGACAGGCGCTACAGTGGATTTACTGTAAGTGGCAAAAGGGTTGATATAATGGAACCGTGGCGTATTCCAAGGTTGGAATAGGAAAAGGTTCCTTTGCTGGATACGCACGTTAGGTAGGTCGAGTTCAGAAATATGAAGCTTCATCCTATCCATAAACGGCCGGATGTTAGACGGCCGTGCATCATAAAGTCTCTTCATGCTGGTACTCATATACACATTCAGCAGAGGATGTGAAGGCACGGACAAGATCTTAAAATAAAACGCAAGAGACAGCTTCCTCCGTCGAGTGAGTGAGTGAATGTGGGGTTTTATGGCGCAAGAGCCAAAATTGGCTATACTGCGCCACACGTTTGTTAAAATATTAAAAGCAGGGTAAAAACGCACATGAAAATTGACACAGAAAAAATTATAGATGTGCATGCCTGGATGCACATATATAAAAGGTAAATGTCAAGGTAAATGATTTTGAAAAGTCAAATTAAAAATAAAAAACCAATTATCCTGATAAAAGCAAATAGGTTTTGGTGGGGTATTTCTCCCACCAAGTCAGGTAAAGTTAAATGTAATGAATTAAAAAAGGTGATGCGATGATGGTTAAAAACTGGACAATCGATTAAAATGTGATAAACAGTGTAAGAGACATTGCATGAAGGACATTCAGGAGCGTGTTCTCCAAACAACAAATGCCTGTGTGTTAAGCGAGTATGACCAATGCGAAGACGAGTCAATTTGACATCAGTTCTTCGCATGGGCATCACAGGACATGCTCCTATGACAAGTTTCACGGAGTGCAGTTTGTTATCCAACTGCTGACTCCATGATTCCTGCCAGATCTTAAAAATATGATGCATGATGACACGCTTCATATCCGATAGCGGAACCGCTAGCGGCAGATGCGTCGTCGCCGACTTTGCCGCGCTGTCCGCTTGCTCGTTGCCTATGATACCTACGTGACTTGGTAGCCAGCAAAACACGATATCGAAACCCTTGCTGTACAGTCGACTCGTAATGTCGAGTATTTTACAAACCACTGGATGGCAGCGATCGTCATAGTTTTTCAAGCGCTTCGAGTACACTCATGCTGTCAGTATAGATGCAGTATTTACGGGGCATAGTGAGTCGATTAATTGAAGTGCACGGTAAATGGCGACAGCTTCGGCAGTGAAAATGCTGCAAGAAGTGTCGAGCCTATAACCGTGCATAATATCTTCAATCACGACTCCACAGCCAACGTAATCTGCACGTTTCGAACCATCAGTGTAGATGGCCGAATAACGACTATACTGACTGCGGTGGTAGGCGAAGACGCGTTGAAAGACGACAGGCGCTACAGTGGATTTACTGTAAGTGGCAAAAGGGTTGATATAATGGAACCGTGGCGTATTCCGGTTGGAATAGGAAAATGGTTCCTTTGCTGGATACGCACGTTAGGTAGGTCGAGTTCAGAAATATGAAGCTTCATCCTATCCATAAACGGCCGGATGTTAGACGGCCGTGCATCATAAAGTCTCTTCATGCTGGTACTCATATACACATTCTGCAGAGGATGTGAAGGCACGGACAAGATCTTAAAAATAAAACGCGTCAAGAGACAGCTTCCTCCGTCTAAGATCTAGAGGAAGCTGATGACAGTTAACATAGAGACTCTGCACCGGTGATGTGCGAAACGCACCCGAGCAGATTCTCAGTGCCATATGGTGGACGGGGTCAAGTTTTTTCAG